CGGTCCGCTCTGTACATGGGTGCCTCCACTCGAGTGCTCAGTGCCCATTGTCCAAATAGCCTCCAAAGCACTTCATGATGCTAATGATGCACTACCCGGCGTCCATTGCATCACTCGCATCACCAGACCCCATTTTCACTGCTTTTCTGACCCTCGCTTTGGAGCGCTCTCCCCCACCAAGCTCCGGGTTCACCCTCTCAAAATGTCCCTATCAGCACCCTCCCCCCCACACACCCCCTTAACTCACTTTGTTCGCTCTAAAAGCTCAAGCCTAGCCTATCGGCTGAATACGGCTATGCAAGTGAATAAAAGTTAAGGAAGTAGAAGCACAACACACTGACCCCAAACAAACAAACAAAAAATAAGAAAATGAATAACTGTTGACTATATTATATATATATATAACTATATATATATAATCTATATAATATATATATATATATATACACATGTACTGTGTTAATTCTTTGCTGCTGGCAATCGTTTTTGCGAACTGTAGCATGCCAAGGAACGCGTGCTGACCAACCTCTGCGCACGACCTTGTCAAGAAGAAACTTTGACTTGCAGTAACTAACAATAGATCTACTGGAAGTGTTCCCTTGCAACAAGAACACCTTATATAAAAGCTTTGGACTTGAGAATGCTATTTTCCCTTACCTACCTGTGGCTGTACCCCTGCTACCACACAGATTTGCCAGTGTGCCACTATGCGGCTATGACCGGCTATGCGTTTAAGCCGAAGAGCCATGCGAAGGTCACGCGCTCTTCAGCAGAGAGCTCCTTCCGCTTTCCTCAAACACAAAGGAAGCATCCGCGGCTGTTCAAAGGCTACGAAGGCTTCCCCAACCATCGGTTCAGGTGAAAAACGCCGGATTCCTGAAAGCTCACTCTAGCAGCTAATCGAAGTTCAGCTTGAGCACCGGCCATCATGGACTTCAAAGCTGTCCAAAGATCTTGCCTCAGTTCATACATCCATTCTGAACCTTAACAGTCTTCTAATTGGAGGCCTTTGGCAGCGGCAAAGAATGGAGCCCTCCCAAAATGATAAGAAAGAATGCAGCTCAATCAGAAGCTTGAATGTAGATTGTCTCTTGTTGCACCTCAAATTCTCATTCCGGACCCGATTGTCAAGATGCCGTGGTTCCCCAGCTGTGGCAAAGGCCCAAGCAAAGGCCACCAGCTGTCTGCCTGATGCTGAGCTGCACTCCTAGAGCAATTTGAGGCCCGCATTGCGCAAAGGTCAGAAGAATCCGTGCCGTATACCTACAAGAAGTACAGAGAGATGCAGAGTACGAGGATGATCTTGCTGGAATGAGATGGCAAGGCTCCGCAGGAGGTGCAAATTCAACGACGCCCGTCCCTCATTCTCACACGCCAACCAACAATACGTACCAGCTTTGTATATTTGGACAGCAAAGGGCAAATCTCCTCAACAACAACGTCTGCCAGTAGCTGCCAAGCAGGTTCATAAGCAAGCCTCGCGACATTTGCCAAAACATGAATGACTGCTGACCGGCTGACCGCTCTTTCGCTGAGACATCTCTCGCCTCACTGTTGCCATAGCATTTATCAAGGCAGCCAGTGCTTCAGTATCCTGTCGCATGTCCTGGGCAAAACGATCAAGGCATGGAGAATACACACTTTACATTTGTAAAAATGCAAACTGGTGTCTTTGAGCCCTTGTCGATTCAAAGAGCTTTATGCTACCGGCTGGCCGGAATCATGTTGATCAGCTCCTTCTGAAGTATGGGCTCCCGCATAGGTTTCGCACTCTGCAAAGCACAGTTGGCACGCAGTGCTGTTCCCAAAGTCTTACGAGCTCAAGCCATCGCCATTCAGAGATCATGTCCTCTTCTTTCCTCTCTTGTTCTCCAAAAAAATACTTCAACCCCTTTCTCCATGGAGAGCCTCTGGCGCGAAAAGGCGGAGGACCTCTATCAGCAGGGAGCGATCGATCTCTGGGGAGAAGAAGTTGCGACCACAAAGCTCGTTCCTGCGATTCGGCGAATTCGGTCGAAGCTCGGCAAAGCTCTCCTTTTGTCTGGGCCAAGCGAGGCTTTAAGACTCTAAGGCTCTGGTCAGCGACGTCTCCAGAGCGGTCGGATCCATTTCAGTTGCATCGGAGCACCCTCGCCTGAGCACCGCCATGGCTTGCTTGGCTTGAGAGATCCTCTCCTGGCGCATTGACCACTAGAGCCGAGTCACTCGTTGCATCGGTCCTACTTCTTCACTTTGACTACTAGGGTTGCTACTTCAAGGCGCTCTTGGACTTCAATGCGCTCCCTCACTTCACTAGATCGCTTTGACAGAAGTCAAATAGTAACAAGGTGTGGGTGAACATTGAAATGTGCCTGTGCGGCTTTGAGCTTCTCTGCGACTGCAGGATCCAGATCGCTTGGTGCTGACCTGACAAATCGAAGCTCTTGTTCATCTGAAGCTATGAGAAATCTTCAAGCTAACCTGCCTCATACCAGTCTCCGTTCTTCGTGGGCTTGCATAAGGTCTGGCTGACAGCCTTAGACTATAGGTCCAAGGACAGCTAAGTACAAGTGAGCATGTTCATGCATTTTCCTCTGGCATGTGGGTTTCTGGCCCTTGAGAGTCCAACAAAAGCTGGAAAGGCACTGTGGTGACCCACGCAATATCTGGTATGTACCTTGCAGCAGGGGGAACAAACTGGGTCCAAGAGAGGTTTGCCAAAAGGTGGACGAGTTTGGGCTGAGCTATGAACCTAGGCAGCAAAGAAAAGACTGCAGCAAGTGCAGCAAGTGCCAGGAAGCTGGCCCGCCTCCATTGCGGTTGAAGTGATGGAAGACCGACGATGGTGCAAACATTCATGGTCCAAATGAGCACCCGAAAAGAAGCTCCAGTGCCTTTGGTGCCCCAGAGCCATGGCTACTAAACAAAGAATGACGCTCTATCCTAGCGGTGCTCTGCAATGCTGAAACCGGATCCGTTGTTGGGAGTCATGCGAGTGTCTTGATGGTCTTCTGGTTTACTTTTTTCCGCTACAATGTTGATAGCAAAACCATTAACAGTTATATGATCATTAACAGTTGTTTGCCGTGCCTACTTTCAGCGGCAGCAGAACCGAAAAAGAATAGTAGGATGCAGAGATCAAGCCAATTCGATTGATCAATGACAGCAAAGTGCTTGAACTTGCTGATCACAAAAGTCAAACAAAATGCTGTTCAAACGCGAGCGGCTCTGTATATGCATCGAGCCACCAAAAACCTGGCACACCATCCCACAGCCAGAACAAAGGATCTGGCGCAACGGAGTCGGGCAAAATCAGGTCGTTGCCCATGGCATCCTGTCAGTGGACCCTTCGTGTCTTCGCGTGTCTTCGCAGCTCTGGAGGCGTCAGGTGGGGTCCACCACTGTTTTTACGTCACTTGCCTGTACGATGCTACAAGTGCATTACTACTAGTAACAAGGAGGCACACTACCATCGCTACTAGGAACAAGTGAACAAAGGTACAGTAATGTTCTCCAGTCTTTCAACCCCCCAGCTGACCAGAAGGGCCAAAGCATGCTGCCATTGATAGCTGCGTTCACCTTAAGTCAAAGGTTCAATAACGCTTCGTAAGATCTGCTGTGGAATCCACTGTAGATACGCCAAATATGCCAATGAGCGCGGCACAAGCACTGATGGCAGCACTTCTCAACACCAGGTCAGGTCTTGCAGCTGCCTTCATGTACAAGTGTACAAGGTTCAGTGTACTTCGGTGTACGGTCTTAACGTTCTCCCATTTCGTTCATGTGTGTGTGTGTGTGCTTGTGTCAAGTCTTTGTCGCAGTCATGACTGGACAAGTTCCAAAATGCTGACACGCCTGATTTAGATGGCATAGTAGCTCCAAACACATTTCCCAGCAATGAACCTGGACTGTGCATCACCCTCATCTGCTTGACCTGGCTACCTTCCAGAATTTCAATGCGTAGAAATTCGTACAAATAAGGCCTCATGACTCAGGCCCCAATAATTTATTACCATCGTCAATCTTCATCATGTCGATTACAGCTTCCAATCAGTAGGGTCCTTGTGTTCACAAGATCTTATTTGTTTCCTACCAGCACTATCACGGAATGATGAATCCTGTTATACACATTTCAGATTGTTGGTCCGCCTGCATTTATGAGTGCGGATTCGATGCTGGAATTGCTTTCTGATCATTCCTGCTATATCCTCTCAAGCTCGTCCCAGACCAGTCTTTTACAAAAATGAGCCTTAGACCCATGTACACTCTTGCTTTAACAAAGAGTCTTCCCGATGGCAAGCTGGCTTTCATGAAAGGACACCAAGCAGTCCCTGGCCACCTTGGCGCATGCACTTGCTGCCGTGGCATAGTGGATCAGGTTGGGCCTGCCAATTAGCAACAGGAGGAACCCACTCGGCCTACGCGCGCTTTTGCTTTGACTGTAGCTCTTGTGACATCGCGACAATCTCGGTGCCGAGCGGCCTTTGGGGCTCCTGCTGTTGATTCCCATGCAGGATTTAAAGTACTGGTGGTCACTACGGGCCCACGGCTACGATGCATGTCCCAACATCAACGGATTCGTCCTTTGCCAGCAGCTCAAGGGCATCTTCCCACAACTCAGCTTGCCTGAGCTTGACGAAATCGGTCTCCAAATGTCCACCTGTCTGCCTGTTCGATGCCTGGCACAAGGTCCTCGACATTGAGTCTCGAGCTCTAGTAGCCGAAGCATGTTTTCCACCACGATATCATTAACCTTAGTGTAACCATGGACTGCTCAAGCTGCTTGGGACGGTTGAAATACTTCCACTCTACTGACCCTCTCAAGGCCCAGCTGAAACTCACAACGAATGTTGGCTTTTGCTCTTGTTGCTTCACTGTGCTCTTACGTCATCTATCAATGTCTCACATGATGGCAAATGCCACGATCAATAGCTGGACAACAAAGCCCAGCGAAATTTGGCTACTTATGCAGCTTATGTTGTTGTACAGTGCATGCTTTTGCATTGCATGCTTGATATGAAGAGATGATATGTCTTAGTCCTTCGCGTTTCTTTTGGTCGTTGCTTCTGCCGTGTCGACCCGTCCCTCTGCGGCTTCACTCCCCACTGTCATTCTGTGGTCCACCTGCGTAGCGTTCGCCTGCTTCAGCAGCTGAGATCCAAAGCTCGCAGCCGCTGCCTGCCAAGTCGTGGGCACTTCAAACCCAAATCCTCCAAACATGCTTTTAGGGAAAAAGATATATTGAAAACTTAGCAAGCTCTTGAGTGGGAAAGGAAGGTGGCATGGTGGAGGGCCTTGCGGCCTTAAGATGCCTTGACTCCCTAACTGGTCCAGCTGCCGTTCGGCCTAAACGATTAATTAGTTGATGCCTTTGCCTTTGCTGCTTTGTTTTGTTTGTACAGTTTTCAGTTTGGTGGCTTGGTGCCGAGATGTGCCAAAACCAATACGGCTGCTTGTGGTGAACCTTTCGGAGCTTCAGGGATGTCTGAACCCTACTGCGGGACTCCAATGCCGAGGCTCTTCGAATGAGAAGCCGAGACAGGCGTAGCAACTTGTTTTGCATTCGGGCTTGTGGGCTTCATATGGCTTCATCTTGTTGTTTACTGGTTAATGTGGTTTTTGCGAAGTAGACCGATGGACACAATCTGTTGATTGAAAGCATAGCGGTTTGGCGTGGGTTTAACAATGAATCAACATAAATCAAGCACGTTGAACATGTCCAACACACGCACTCGGGTTCTACTCGCAAGCGTGCAGCCCGCTGCTACTCACAGTCAATAGAAGGGCGGCTAACTTTTTTGCCCTCCGTTCTTAGCCACGATGCTTCCAAGGCATAGGGACAAACTGTCAAGAAGCATTTATGGCATGTACGATGTTGGACCTCTCTTGTTGAAGCCCAGGCAGTACACGCACCCAAAAGCGCTGAGTAGGCATGCCTCAAGTACATGTCCAATCTCTTGAGATTCGTTGAAAATCCACAAACCAGAGAGCTTTGTACTTGAGACCTTTGCTTACTGAGGCCACCGCGAATCAAGTGCAATGTCTCGCTTCTGCATCTCAGGTAGAACTGATGTGAGAGCCAGCTCCCAACCTTCCAAAAATGCAATGATGTTTCCAGCTATATATGTACCTGTTCATGCTTCAAAATGCCAGGAACCTGTGGAACAACTGTGCAAAGAGATAGGGTAGGAAGTTATGTGTTGAGGGTGACACATTCATTTTGGTGTCATGTTTAGTCCGAGCCCATGGCAAATAGTGCGTTGGCTTTCAGAGTCAAATCTCGACTCCTTTGATCTTCTAAGCAAAGGAGCATCTGAGCATCCGGCGACCGCATGTCCCAAGTACAGCCAGGACCTACAGTACAGTACACGATGTGGTATCACTTTGGTCTCATTTATATACCTAGCCTTGCAACAGAATGTCTATCCTTGTCCTAGTCAGCACCTAGGAAGAAAAAGAACGATCACGAATGTGAAAGAAGCAAACAAACATCACTTCTGTGGTCAACTTGCAATCGCGTCGCAAGAATCATCGTTTTAAGCAACATCAGCTAAGCAAATTTCATTGGACACTTTGGATCATTTGCGGGTACTGGCACTGGGCAGGCAGGCATGGCTGAAGGTCATCCCGTCCCATGCTTTGAATTGGGCTTGGATCCTGGCGCAAGCAAGGATGGAACATGAATCTTGGCTTTTGATGCAAACCCACCAAGTGACCATGAGAAATGTGACTCCGTCAGGTCTATTTCCTCTTGGGATGGCAGAAGCGCTAAGCGAGTCAAAGAGACTCAAGTGCTTCTTGCCAACGGCCTGCCACCTGCAAAGCAACTTTGCACATCGTGAATGCCAAACCACAGCAACGGTGGTGGCTTTCAAACACCATGTCGCCTTCATACAATCCAGCAACGAGAGCAGTGCCCCATGCGGTGCCAAACGCATTCGCTGCGATCTATGCAGCAGAGACACGGCGGCCTGTCCAAGTGCCAACGCGAACCTAGATTCTTAAGCTACTAGTAGCTCCTGGCATCACTACTAGTAGCAAGAAACTATTAGGAACAAAGAGCATCGCTACTAGGAGCAAGGACGCTACTTAGTGGCTCCTGGCAGTACTACTTTGATGTCTCCTGTCTCATCTTCTCTTTCTATCCGCCGATCACTAGTGAGTGGGAGTGCACGCCCCAAATGGGCTTGACTTTCGGAAGACCATTCCTTGGGATTACACGTTTCGGTCGGCTTTACAAAGGACCATCAAAGGGCCCTTAGATGACTCGCTGTTCTATGAACTTTCAGAAGCGACGTTGGACAGCAACACCTGCGGTGGTGAATTTTTTGTGTGGTGCCGAGTCTTTTTGAATATGTGTGTCTGTCCACCTTGGGTCGTGTTTGAATCTTCCAGAAACACTGGGATTTATTGTTTATATATATATATACATGTGTGTGTATTTAGGAACACATGCGGTCTCACCGTGCAAAAGGCTAATCTCATAAACATCTCGCAATTACGGGTGTAATGAGGTGTGTATAGTATTCTTACAGTGTTTTGAGCCCCTTAACTTGAGGCCAGGGGGAGGAGGTCGAAAGCTAGCCGAATCGCACCGGATGTACTAGTTACATAGTCGGCAAAGCATGTAGTGATTACATGTGTTGGGAGAAAGGTTGCTACGCACATACTTTGCGCTAAAGAATGTAAATGTGACATCGCCGACTGGGAAGGGTACATTGGAACAACATGGGCGCACTCGTTGGCAGGCACGAAGATGCGTGATCGGCAAATCTGGGGGTTAAATTTACCCCCCGCTTTTGTATGCCTTGAGTCGGAAAAGAGGGGTAAGCATTTCTGACATCACACGGACTGTACATACACTAGGGCGTCCGTAGTGTAGGATAAGCACTGGTACAAGGTATAAGGGGTAGAGTGTTTGAGGAAATAGCCGGCTTATGGTTATGGCAAATCTGGGGGGGTA